ATGAAAAACCAGGTCCCACGATCCCCCACAGTTCCCACGCATGACAAACCAGTTCCCACAGATCCCACAGATCCCCACCGCATGAAAACCTGTCCCCCAGATCCCCACCAGTTCCACGCACATGATCAACCATCCCAAGGATCCCCCAGATCCCCACGCATGAAAACAAGTTCCCAGATTAATTTTTTTTTTCCTTTTTTTTCCCCCCCACCACAGTTCCCACGCATGAAACCCAGTCCAAGAATCCCAGTTACCCACGCATGAAAAACCAGGTATCCCCGGCCGGGCGCGGCTGGCTCAAGCCTGTAAATCCCAGCCACTTTGGGAGGCCGAGACGGGCGGATCACAGAGGTCAGGAAGATGAGACCAGCCTGCGCCGACACGGGAACCCTGGTCTTACTAAAATTACAAAAACTACCGGGCAAGGTGGCGGGCGCTGTAGTCCCAGCTACTCGGAGGCTGAGGCAGGAGAATGGCGTGAACCCGGGAGGCGGAGCTTGCAGTGAGCTGAGATCCTGGCCACTGCACTCCAGCCTGGCGCAGAGCGAGGACTCCGTCTCAAAAAAAAAAGGGAAAACCAGTTCCCACAGATCCCCCACCTACCCCACGCATGAAAACCAGTTCCCACGATCCCCCCTCCCACGCATGAAAACCAGTTCACCAGATCCCCCACCTACCCCACACATGGAAAACCAGTTCCACAGATCCCCACAGTTCCACGCATGAAACCAGGTCACAATCCCCCACAGACTCCCCACGCATGAAACCAGTTCACAGATCCCCACAGCATCCCATGCATGAAACCCAGTTCCACAGATCCCCACAGTTCCCACGCATGAAAAACCAGTCCCACAGATCCCCAACAGGATCCCACGCATTGAAAACCAGTCCCACCGATCCCCCACAGATTCCCCAACGCATGAAAAACCAGTTCCACAGATCCCACAGTCCCACGCATGAAAAACCAGTCCACAGATCCCACAGATCCCACGCATTGAACCAGTCCCACAAGACCCCCACAGTTCCCAGCATGAAACCAGTCCCAAGATTCCCCAGTTCCCACGCATGAAAACAAGTCCCAAGATTTTTCCCCACAGTTCCACGCATTGAAAACCAGTCCTCCACAGATTCCCCAGTTCCCACGCATGAAAACCAAGTCCCAAGATCCCCACAGTTCCCATGGCATGAAAACCAGTCCCACAGATCCCCACAGTTCCCACGCATGAAAACCAGTCCCACAGATCCCCACCTACCCCACGCATGAAAACAAATTCCACAGATCCCCACCTACCCCATGCATGAAAACCAGTCCCACAGATCCCCACCTACCCCACGCATGAAAACCAGTCCCACAGATCCCCACCTACCCCACGCATGAAAACCAGTCCCACAGATCCCCACAGTTCCCATGCATAAAAACCTGTCCCACAGATCCCCACCTACCCCACGCATGAAAACCTATTCCACAGATCCCCACAGTTCCCCACCTACGTTTGAAAGCTGACACAGTAAAGGCTGTTGTAAAAGGAGACGCAGAAGCAATGTCACCACAACCTCAAGGTAAACAGAGTTCCTGAAGGGAACACAAACAGATTTAGCCACAAACCGCTGCTAAAGTGGACTGCGTTAGTGGACTGCGTTAGTGGACTGTGTTAGAAGCACAAATTTCCAGTCCTCAAAAGGCTTGACTTAGGAGCACAAAAGCAAGACACACACGGCACAGACATTCACAGTGCACGCATCTGATGCCAGACTTGCACCAGAACACACAAAGAGCTCCTGCAAGCCGATGATGGGAGGCAGGCGCCCCGCACAGAGCAGGGCAGGATGGATGGGCACCTCCCGCAAGAGCCCTGGGGCGGCCAGCACGGGAACAGTGTGGACACATGGGCATCAAGAGAGCCCCCTGCACAATCCCACGAGGCGGCCGCGACACCATCAGGCCGGCGGCCACCGGAGGCACCACCCTCGCAAGCAGCCAGCCACCCCCCTGGAAACTCCCACAATATCCATAAAGCACATCAGCGACCCAGCAACCCCACTCCTGGAATTCACCCAGAGGTGAGGGCCTCTGACCCCTGGGACGCCCCCAGAACCCAGAACACTCACAGCCCTGCAGTCCGCACCCAGGAGCCTCCACAGCAGCGGGAAGGATACATCCACGTGGCGTGTTCCACAGCAGATGCCATACATGGACAGAACACGCAGCTGAGGCGTTCAGCACAGCTGAGACTTGGACCCCCAAACCCACCTCCTGCCTGATCTCACTTGTGGAGACCAGAAGAGGGAGACCATGGAGGTCGGCACCAGGGTCATGGCGGGGGCGGCACCTTCCGCTGCGGTGGGGAGTTCTCCTGGGCTCTGGTGACTTTCTGCACCTGGGCACAGGTGGGTGGCGGGGAGGAGGGTCTCCTGGGCTCTGGTGACTTTCTGTACCTGGGCACGGGTGGGCGGCGGGGAGGGGGGTCTCCTGGGCTCTGGTGACTTTCTGTACCTGGGCACGGGTGGGCGGCGGGGAGGGGGGTCTCCTGGGCGCTGGCGACTTTCTACACCTGGACGCAGGTGGTAGCCATCAGGTTTCCACGAATGTAAAATTCTGCTGAGTCATACCTGAGATTTGCAAATAGCTGCAGTAACCTCAAGAAGTCAGAGAAAGAGATCCTTGCAGGTCTCCACACGCGCCTTTCCCCAAACTGAAGCTCCAGGGACACTTCACCTCTGCACCCTGGCCTGGCACTACTCGGGGGGCTTACCACTCCAGCGCGCTCATGACCATTGGGTGGGAACCCAAGCCCAGGGCCCCTTTCACCCCTGCTGAGCCCCAAGGCCTCCGGCCGCTCTGGGAGGAGTGTGTCCCGGGGAGCGACGCCTGAATCAGCCTTCCTGTCTCTCATGGAGCCGGCACGGGCCAGGCTGGGGTCCTGGGGGTGCCGGGGGTCCAGGAAGGTACCACCCAGCGTCCCTACTCTCCTCTCAAACCCGGCTTGGAGTCTCCAAGGCCCAGCCCTGTGACAGGACAGGGGCACCCGTGCTGGAAGGGAGGACCCTGAATGTGGAGTTCACCAAACCAGCACCCAAGAGCATGAGGACAATGGTACGGACCATGCCCAGAAAAGGAAGGAGGAAGGCCAAGGGGCCACACACACCCACGCCACAGACACAGCGTGGACATGCATGTGTCACGGACACATGCACACACACACACCACAAATATGCACGTCACAGACATGCAGCACAGACACACGCTCATACACACCACAGGCACACACACCAGAGACACACCAGAGGCACACCACGGACACACACGTGCCACAGATACACACACATACATCATAAATATGCTCATCACAGACACATGCACCACGGACACGCACGTGCCACACACATGCCACACATGTGCCACATGCACATGTCACAGATACACACACATATCACTGATGTGTAAATCATGGAAGTACCTCCATCACAGAAACACATCACAGACATGACTGCATCCTAGACACATCCATATCCCAGGGACACACATCCTGGACACAACTGTCTCACACGTGAGCCTTACGTGGCTCTTGAAGGTCTTGCGGACGTGCCCGTGGGCGGCCTTCCGGACCACAGCATACCGGCGCACGCAATATGTGTTCTGGGGCTTGATGATGCTGGCGATGACCTCCATGAGCCTGTCCTGGGGGATGGTGTCGTACGCGCCCATCACATCCACCTGCGTGAGTGAAGGCAAGGAGGCTGACAATGGCCACCCAGCAACTCAGACGTCACCTCTGTCCTCAGGGCCTGGCCGCAGCCGCGTCCCCCCATCTCTCTCTGACCCCCACCTCTCCAGACCCCAAGGGCAGGGCGGGCTGTATGCCCTCTCTGAGCCTCAGGACAGGAGGGCCCTGGCTCAGGACTGGGGTGCGAGGCACCGGGGCCTGGTGGCTGAGCTGGTGCGGTTCCTTCTCTGACGGGAACTGGAATCCAGTGGGACCCTCCCTGGGAGGAGGAGCCCGGGGCAGTTGGGGTGCAGAGTTGGGGCCCATGTGCTGCAGGAAAGGCTGAAGGCCTCCCTGCCAGGTGCCGGGTGTGTCCCCAACAGTGACCGGGTCACCTGCACTCCCTGTGGCCCACCCAGCATGAGGTGTCAATCAGGCAGCCACCCCCAAGGTCCAGCAGGGCTGCTGACGGGGTCCCAGCGCCCACCTTGACGAAGTATAGCTTGGGTGGCGGGTCCTGGGCCCGCACACGCAGCACAAAGTTGCGCCAGGCCCTGTGGATATCATCCAGGCCCAGCACAGAGGCACCCAGGAGGCCGGGGCGCCGTGCCCGCTCGTAGTTGAGCACACTGAACAGTGCCTTCACCCTCGAGGCGAGACGCTCGGCCTGGCGGGGACAGCACGGGAGATAGTCAGGACAGTGGACCCGGCCAGGTGCCCCGCCCCACCAGAGGGACCCAGGGGAGAAGCAGCCCTACCCCAGTGTCCCCAGCTGCCCAGACCTAGGTCCTTGAACCCCTCCCAGCTTCCCCAGACCCTGTTTGAAACGTGGTCCCGGCTGCATGTGTGTTGCACATGGGATGCTCATGCCATACCTCTGTCCACCTCACCCCACGCTCCCCTCAGATGACGGGGTCACCACAGCCACAGCAGCCACACAGGTGGGGTGCAGGAGCCGTGGGGTGAGGGCCCAGGGTCCTCAGAGCCCAGTGGGGTCCTGGCAGCCATGGCCTGGTCCCTGGGCCCACATACGGAAGCACCCGGAGCCCGAGCACCACGGCAGGACACGAACCTGGGACCTCGCGCTCTGCTGCGTCCAGGCCCCAGCCCAGCGACTGCTTGTGGTCCTCAGAGCCTGTCCCTGCCCCAGGACCTCCCCCAACACCCCCACACTGCTTTTCTGGAGGCACCAGCACCTCGGCCACCTCACCATGCCCACAAATGGGTGTAAGCCGTGCTGTGGGCCTGGCTGGGTCCTGTGGCCCCTCCTCTGGGCCCTGCGTCTAAGCTGATACCAAATGTGGGGCTCAAATGCACTTCTATTTAAAAAGGACACTAAACCAAAGCACAGTCACCCTCTTTTCTCTGCGGAACGTTCTGGCTCCCACGACGTAGTCCATGTTCACGATCGGCCGGAGCCCGTCAGGCTTGGGGAGGAAGCGGAGTCTGGATGCCAGCAGGGTGGGCCTGGCTTCCCGATGCTGCCTGGCCTCTGCTTCCGACAGCTCCCGCAGCTGCACCCTCTTCAAGTGCTGTCTGCAACAGAGAGCCCCTCAGGACACGCTCAGCCAGGCGCCAGACTAGGAGGAAGCTCACGGGAAGCCACAAGCCCCCATCGACTCAGTGAGGGCTCAGGGCACCCATGGCAGCACACACTGAAGGCCATGCCCGGGGCCACGTCCTCCCACGCTGGCCAGACGCCTCCAAGAGCCCTCTACTTGCAGGGCACCTGGACACCTGGTCCTACAGTCAACCCTAGGAACGCACAGTCCAGTGGTCAACCCCCAGGGTGACTGTCCCACCATCAGCACCAGGGAGCCTGGTCCCATGATCAGCCCCCCAGCCTGCCTGTCCAGTGGCCGCCACCCAGGATGGGGTGCAAGGCTGCATCTGGGGCCACATGAACTCATGCTCCCTCCACACAGGATGCCTGTCCCTCTGGTACAGCCACTGGGTAGCCCAGGGCTGGCCCCAGGCAGGACCCTCAGGCAGAAAGAGCCGCATCCCTTCCAATGGAGAGGGCAGGGGAGGCTGCTCAGGGCAGCTCAGCCAAGGAGCAGAACCAGCTCCCGTGAGCCCACCAGCTCCCTGACACCTCTGCCCTTTGGCGTTTTCTCCCAAAACCACCCATGGGGGAGCAGGGGGTTGGAGTGGCCACACCTGGACCTGGGCATCTGCAGCTGACAGCCTGGTGCTCTATGGTCGCTGGGCCCGAGGGTGCTCCGGGGCTGGTGCCCTGACCCCAGGCCGCAGGCCCAGCCGAGCACAGGAGAGGCACAGTACCCTGTCCAGGGAGGAGGGGCCTCCGAGGCCCCTCAGGCAGAACATCAGCTCCAGCCATGACAAGGAGCGACTAGGGGACCACCACGTCTGTCTGCTCCTTCCCGTCACCCCAATTAAATTCTTCCCAAAACACTGGTCAAATGACCACGTTGGGTCACACACCATTCACTATGTGCAATGTCTAAGTAGGGCACATTGTGTATTAACTCGTTCCCACAGGAAAAGCCCTGACTCTCCCCCAGATACAGGAGGAAACGGCCCCAGCCCCACGTCAGGGTCCCCAGCCCAGAGGCCGTGTTACCTCTGATGAGGTCTGCCGCCAGCTTCCTCTGCAGACATCCTGATTTGGGGCATGGGGTGTGAGAAGCCCCCCAGGGACTCGAGTGTGCAGAGGAGCCGGGGAAGCCCTGACCTTGTGACTAAAGAGTCCTCACTGAGCCCTCCAGTCAGCCTGGGTGGGACACGGAGAAGCTAATATCACGGCCTGGGCTCAGCCAGGCTGATGTCTCCCAGCCCAGCACTCCAGTCCCTCACTGACGCAAATCCAGCTTGAATCTGCCACAATCCCTCACACTCTTATCAGCTGAACA